CCAGCAAAAGTACAGACAAAAGGATTCCAACAGCTAGGCGCAGCACTGTTTTTCCTGACAGGAAAGCAGAAAGCCCAAGATGAAACAGCCTGACTTACCTCACAGACTGGTCACTAACAAGGAAGAACAAAGTGCTAAGGAGACGCCTTTTCTGCATCATTATTACATAATCAAAGGGCCACACTGAAATGAGGGACATGAGGGAGAATCCGTCCCTTGTTCAGTGCACTGTCGTTTCTTCCAAATGAGCCAATTTCAGAGTGTTTTACTAACTATCTGGAATATCTTTATCCACAGAGACACCAAGGCTGTTTTTTGCGGGTATAAAGTCAAGTCAGTTTTACTTACATTACTCATAGTTGCAAATTACCCTTGAGGGGCTCAAATGCAATGCAATACCCTGAATTTGAATAAAGAAGAAACCTTGTTAGAGGGGAAAAGAAGAAGACTGAACAGATGGTTACAGATTAGCCCAAAGAATACACATTATGGAAAGTAATGTGTATAATGCTCTCACTGTGGTTTGCTTTGCCTTGCATTTCTAATATGATTTTCTTGTCCACTCTTGGGGCATAAATTGAGTTACTGGCTAAGAAGGAAATACATTATAGCCAAAATATCAATTTTAATTCACTTCACACTACATTTTCCCCAAACTGATGATCACTGCCATTTATCCTACAGTACACAAATAATTGCCAGTGTACCCAAAACTAAAAAGCCAAGCATTTTTTTCCCAAAAGGCTTTCCCAGTTTCCTTGACTGCTTTTCCTGATTACAGCAGCATAAAGAGTGCCGTTTTTCCTCACAGCTCAGGGAAATGAATCAAAACATCCCGGAGAACGATACCTTTACTCCCCATACAGGAAACAATCTCACATTTTCAGGGCTGATAAGACTCAGAGAGCAACACCCAGTAGTGTCTGGCTTGCTCGTGGATGCACATCAAAAGAGCCGTTTTACCTCATTAAACAACGGACCTTTTCATATCCGAAAGCACAGTCGAACAGTCGATTCTTTCTCAGGCGGTTAGAAGCCTCTTAATTAACTCCAGCTTCTTTTAAAGTCAGGAGTTAGTCAGATGTCTATACATTACGAAATCGTAAAAGAAAGAAAAGCTGTACTTGCGGAGGGGGTGCTCTGCACTAATGTTTTCTACATTCGGTGTAATATTTCATGAAGAAGCACTGCTTGGCCTTGTACACGCTTAGCCTCTTCTCCTGATTTAAAGAGTGATTTTCTACATTTCCAAGACTGACTTTCACTGACCCACAGAATACGAATGTGCTCAAGCATTTCAGCCGAGGGATTAGGTGAAAAGATCGATAATCGCACTTCTACTAGAAAGAGGCTTTCTGGTTAAGAAGAAGTCAATTTCACCTCCTCTGTAAAAATGTCCCACAGTTGAATTACATTAAAAAGCATTGAGACTAGAGTCAATAGGGGAAAAAAGGAATTTGTATGACTGAGCTGTCCATCAAATTAAACTAAAATAATGTATTATTTGTCCAAGATATGACACCCCAATGACAAGGACAAGATCCTTAAAAATGGACTTATTATATGAGCCTGACGTATTATATATGCAAAGTAAAGTAAAAACCCGAGTTAGTCATATGTAGCCAAAGTCTGTACACAAAAGATGGCAGCAACCAAGGTAACATAACCTTTGTGCGCTACTGTTTTAGAGCCTCAAGTGACCATATTTGGATAAGAGGGTGGAGGAGTTCCAAGTTATTGGCAGATACTACAGCACAGACACAACAACACTACTGTAACACTGAAATTTTATAAAGAGGAGATATGGCACTGGAGATATGGAATCCTTAAAAAATATCTCATCTGAAATATGTCTGTGAAGGTTCTCAGTCATCCAGGTCACTGTAGTCAAAGGAGTTTGCAAAGAAAAGCGTCTGGACTTCTTTAAGTTGCTTGAAGACGTTTCACCTGAAGAAGAACTGAAGAAGCTTCTCGGATGAGAGGTGAAACGTCTTCAAGCAACTTAAAAGAAGTCCAGACGCTTTTCTTTGCAATCTCATCTGAAAGGTGTTTGTCCCACTCGAACCACCAAAAGAGCCAATCAGAAGCCCAAATGGGCTTAACCAATCATCTTGTTGTACTAATGGACTGGGCAATCAACGCAGCTTGTAAAGCTGTGCACATGTGTAGTAAAAGCAATAACTGCAGGGAAACTGAAACCATATAAACGTCATCTTAGGGCAAAGTCTTCTGAGGCAGTTTTTATTGTGTTTGACAAGCAATACCATACATGCATTTTTATGTGCCTGAGATGATTGAGATTCATTTAGAAAAGGGCTTCAAAACAGCCACATGCATGAATGTCAAGATGGCTGCTAAAGTTAGCATTCTTTAATTGATTAAAGTCACGAAATTGCATTAAAATTGGTCCAAAATGCATACTGCTACTGCCCATCACCCGGGATGTGGTTGCTACCCCATGCCCAACCCTTCTCCTTTTTCATCCGGGCTTTGGCGGAGTCCAAAATGCATAAACTCCACAAATTCTGGATATTCAACAGGTTAATGTTAATGACTCCAAACCGTTGCCTGCTATCCACCTGTGCAGATCAACCTATCAAAAAAGCTACAAGACTTTAAGTCTTAATGCAGGATGAGTTATTGACATATTTAAAAAAAAAAAACCATTCATTTTTGCTCCAATTTGAGCATTTTAGCAAAGACTGAGGATCGGCTCATTGGTCAATCATGGAACTGCAGTTTTTTACCAATTTAATGCCGACTTTATTTTTCAGCCCTTGCAGGTGCTGCTTAGTTGAAGCGGAAAAAAGAAATCATAGTGTGGACTAACTTTTTTTTTTTTAAGATTATAAGACTTTTACCATGAGAGATTGTGTTGGCATGTTGTGCCAGTACAAACACATCTCTCAGATTAAATGAACCAGTGTGGAGAACACTGAAAACACTTTGTCACCCCTCTCTCCTCAAGTGTGTCGAACATATGGACACTATACAGAAACAGCAGTGCAGTATGGCAGGTTTTGTGGAAGAGGAAACTCACCATATGTAGATATAAAGCGCTCAATGCAAGCCAACAAAACTCCCATTCATGTTTTACATACAATGAAATCACATGTTTTGACAATCCACCCTTTTGTTTTAGCCTCTATGGATATTTAGCGCTTTATAAATACCAGGATGTAAGCCATCTACCCAACAGATACGCAGTGGAATTAGGTAAACATCTCTATCAGCACTACAGGCGTTAATGTGTTTAGTGTTTTCGTGAGCACATTTCTATTAAGAATTATTCACTGAGATGCAAATAAGAGGCAAACTGGGATTTTATCTTCCGTGTAAATTCAATTTCTAGCATGGCCGATTGATTAATGATACACTAAATGTGAAAATTATTAACTCTTTACAATAAATTACTTTCACTGTGCTAACAGAGTTTTAGAGGGGAGCCTCTTTGGGTTAGCTTTGATTAAACGACATAGCACAGGTTTTATTTATGATTCTTGAGTTCAGTGAAGGACTTGAGGGCTGTTTTGTGTCAACTTAAGGTGCAGAGAAATCGTTTTGCTACAGCAGAGCCTTTTTGTTTTGACCTTTGGCCGGTCGGTGAGGAAGAACGGAGGGACTGTGTTGGCTCGGACTGTGGAAAACAAGGCTTTGCCACAGCCCCCCCTTCGAGCAGGGAGCGATAAGCACGGAAAGACAAAAAAGTTTAGGGCTGGTGGGCTAAAAAAAAGAAAAAAAACATCATGATCTCATAATGGAAAACCGCCACACTGTGTGTGAACTCGCATATGTGAGTGAGGAGCGGGGTAGCAGGAGAGAAGCAAAACTAGCGCATGTCGCTGATGTGATGAGAGAACGCTTTGAGGATGACTGTCTTTTATCTATGGTGAGTCGAGCTGACAACCAAGAACTTGAATAGCAGAGCACAGCGAGACAGCAGTCATCTGCAGCCTCATACAAAAACCATGAGTGCTGGAACCAAATCTTACTAGTCTGCAGTCTATTTTTCTGATAAATGCTTTATCACAGCACTTCTCTGGCGCTATACAAGCGACGCCTTGCATTTGTAAAACTGTGTGCAAACTATATGGCCTAAAAATGACATTTTCCTCCGTGAAGGCTTTTTGTCGCTTTACAGATCTTCGCTGTGTTCAAATCAGAGCCGTAAAACTGTGAAACAACAAATCTGAAGTTTTCACGACCGAAAGCAGACTTACTTTCTTCCACATAACGTGCTGAATGGTGATCATAGGGAAATAAATGTTTTCCCCTTCCAAACAACAGACATTACACAGATTAGCTGCCTTTGCTGAAACATACTATTACCGCATAAGTCCCTGTAGAGAAGGACCAGATGTCAGATAATAGGCTGTGCTGTGAAGTAGGTGTTGGCCTGGAGCCATAGAACAAGTAAGAACAGCTTCTTCCATATATACCTCTTTGCTTTATGGACAGCCTGCTGGCTGGGTGGGCGACCGCCTTATACCTTGATACTGTTAGAAGATGCCATGTGTGTAATCTACTCTCCATACAAGATAAATATATTTGTGTAATTGAGTAGATAATAGGCCTAACTTTTAAAATCAGTACACCCTGTTAAAGAGAGTGAGAGCAAGGTCTGTGGTGCCTCTCCCTGGTCTTTTACTGATAAGCCTATCAATATATTAAAGCAATAGATCATTTCATGTTAGAGGAAAACACAACAATGTGCTTCAAAGTTCTGATATTAAAGTAAATGAATCGCATATGCTGCGGGGTAGTGGGCTGCTTGTTAGTGAGTACAAAGGAACAGCTAACTCTATCTCATTAAACACTACGCTGGGTTTTTATTGGCTTACTTGAATGGCTTGGCTTCCACTGTAAGCGGCTGAGCGGTATTGGCATTACAGGTTATAGATCGGCTGCTGCAGGAGCATGACACTTCTAAGACATTTCCATTCAAGGCATAATAAAACTTTAAAATGGCAATAGGTGCAGCTCTGGAAGGGATGGGTTACCTTTTCTAGACTTGAACCTTTGTTTTTCTGACCAGCTTTGGCATCACAGTCGTTTCTTCTCTGCTGCTGCTGCTGTTGCTCCGGTTCCTTGTCTGCCTGCTGATGCTGCTGCTGCAGCGCTCCGTGCGGCTCCTCACTCCAAATTACCAGTCTGCGCGTTTCCAGTCGCTCCGAAATAGCTTACAGAGAGTGACTCCGAAAATAACTGCACCGATCAAAGCGGCCACATTCAGTCCAAACGCAGGGTGCAGTCACAGTAGCGACACCCCGGGGTGCTCCCGGCGCAAGCTCGGTCTGCAGCAGGTAGCAGAGCCGGACTCACGGCTGCTTCTCGCCCACCCAGTGTGTCAAGCGTCTGGGCCATTCACAACTAAAGTCATGCGTATCTGCGTGTATGTGTGCGTGTGGAGCAGTGAGACAGTCAGTGAGTGCCCAGTGCCACGCAGCGCCGCAACATGGAGCGATGCCCTGCCTACCACTGCGTCAAGTCAGCCCGATTCATCAAGCACACCACATCCGGCTGTGCCTTTCAAAGTAAAAACCTCAACGGTCTCAGGACCTCAGGAAGCGCTTAAACCAAAATTAAAATGTGCTTGGAAAATCTCCATTTGGTGTTTGTGATTAGTGGCATCTTATTATACATTTTTTTAAAAACTTGAACCAGGCGAACAAACTGAGCACCGGAGCAACATATGGCGGGAGGGGGGTTGAACTCAGTTCTGAATTATTTATGCTGAAAGGAGCCACTAATACCTAAATCATTCATAATTATTCAAGAGAAACAAGGTCGATGCCAATCAAACCTCCATTCATTCCCCCAGAAGACCATGGCATCTGACATTTAAAATGATAGATGGAGGGAGACGCTGGCAAGTGTCAGACATTATCCTGATCCTTTTCTTCCATCAGTCAATGAAAGAACAGGTCTATCAGCCAGAGTAACAAATGGGGTGAAATTAACTCTACACAGCGCTTGATTGTGGCATAAAGCTACAAGTTAAATCGATCTAAATCTATTCAGAGCTTTAAAAAAAGTAAAGTCAAACGCAGTGTATGCTGAAGGCATATTTTAGACAGAAAGAGAAGCATTTAGTGCAACATTTAAATGTTTGGGAGATTGATTATCTTGTTTTTCTGCTTCTTATTTATTTATTTAGTCATGTTACTGTAAAGGGCAAATAGATGGGCAAAAAAAATGTGTGTGTCTGGGGCCTGTGAATGCGTTTTTCTATGGAGAGTTTGAATCATTTATATTGAATGTTTAATTTATCGACTTGAATAATTGCATTGACATTTTGAATTTGAATCACTTCACGTGACATTGAATCAGTTGACTTGAATAACTTTTTATTTAGGCCTATTCTAGTGGAGAAAACACATTTCCAACACTGGTCAGGCTTCATGGACATGAATACATGTCGCTATTTAAAATGCATCTTGTACAGTTTTTAGTAAAAACAACCAAGAGAAGACTAGTAGAAGTACAATTAGTACAAGTGTTAGAGAAATAAACACAAGGCACACATAGGGTTAAAGCAAATACCTCTTGAAATTTCCCTCAACGAGTTGCACCTCAGCGGGACACTTTTGGTAGCCATCAACAAGATTCTGATATAAAATTCATAATTCCAGCTGAATATTTTACCACTCTTCTTGGCAGAATTGCAAGAGTTCATTTAAACTGCCTGGGTTCGTAGTATGGATCCAACCTTTAAGCATAGTCCACACACTTTTCAGTAGGGTTGAGGTAGGGGTTTTGGCACGGTCATTCAAGAAATGTAATATTAGCTTGTATTACCCATTAAAACCAGGTTTGTATATGTATATCCTGTTGGAACACCTAACTGTGTTCAAATTTCAGCTGTGTAGCTGGTGATAAAAGAAAGACGTTCTCTTTCATCTAATTGTATGGGGATAGGTTTTATTTGGGGATTCCTGATACTGAATTTGCTGAGTCATGGTAAATGTTTAGGCACCAGTTTGTACCTTTTCTGCATGAATTTATCGTGGAAATTCATGAACCGAGTAATTAATTAAAATACAAAATTATATATTCCAGAAAGGCATTCTTATCACTTTTGCACATATATTTACTCATATCAGGCCAGGTCTTTTTGTTGGGGAGAAATAACCTGCTGAAAATGTCACTTGCTCATTTGACTTTAGGTTCTTAGTGCAGTTTCTGCTTTTCATCACATTCAAAACATGTCACATGATCTTTGATGATTTTAATAAGCCAAAAAATCTCTGCTTTCTTGTTAAGTTTGACTAAAAACAAGACGATAAGGCAACAGGTCTTATGCATTATTTAATAAACCAGCAATAACCATTGTGAATGCAAACTGAAAATGGCCTTTTATGTGGGGGGGGAAAAAACGAAGCCTTGATACTGACTTACTAGTCCTTGTTTTCAGAGGTTATATTGTTCAGCTGCAGACTGAGATCATAACACCGTGTTTGCATGTGCCACTGATAATGAAGTTTACCACAAAAGATTTTATGGCAGTATGAACTCAAAATATTAGTAAGTGAGTAAAACAAGACCCGCTCATGTCTGAGGTACTGCTGTCGTGTTTAATAATATCACAAAGGGGGTTTTCTTTGCAAGAACTCAATTTATTTTGTGTCTCGATTGGATTAATATTGGGGGGCATATTCTCGGCATCATTCCAGAAATCTGCAGTCAGGGCTAATTAAGCAGTCTTTAAGAGAGAAAGCAACCATTTTCTACCACACATAATTTCTCTCAGCTTATAAGCCATGTATCTAAACACATCCATCAGTATGCACACTAACTAACAAACATGCCAAAACAGACATTTGTACAAAAAAGGTATTCTCTCTCCAATTGGTAATGAGAAATACCTGACGGGGTCCCTGGAAACTGGCTTTGGTGTGGGGGGTTTTGCCACAGTGTACTCACACAGAGTGTGATAGATGAGGTGGTCACAGATAGCGCTCCCCTCACCTCTAGAAACACATATGCTTCCACTGGCACTGAGTCAAATCCTGCCAGAGCTTTCTTAATCTCTGTCTTCCCCTGGACTTTCCCGTCTGTCTGAATATAAAGAATGAAAACAGTAGAGGTGAGTGTGGAGCCCACTCGAGCCCACTGCAAGAGGAGGTAAGATTAACTGGGACTAACACAGGATTGCAGAGGGATCAGCAGAGTTGTGGGGAGCCAGAGAAGGAAGAGAGTGGCTCAGTGAACCTGCTGGCCCTGGATTTCTTATGCTAATCTACTGGGGTTGTAGCTCACCTCAAATTTGTCTGATGTTATGCCAGTGTGAGAGATTCTTTTATCAGCTGCACATGAGTTTTGTATCATAAAGGAGCCAAGACATTTTTAAATTTGAAGTTACAGATTGGCTTATATTATAACTCACATAAAGGAAAGACAGCTTTATTTCAGCACTGTCAATAAAACAATATACCGGCTAAAACAATTAGTCTGAAGTGCACCTAAAATTATTTTAAACCCAACAACAAAACTTTATGTGCATTATAGTGATGAAAAAGTGT